AAAGGTAAGAAAAGATCTCTTAAAAACAACGAGGATGCAGGAAAAAATAATTCATCACCTGCAAGATGATGCAGCGAAGAATAATGTGAGACTAATAGGTATCAATGAGAAAGAAGGAGTCAATACAAATGACATTAAAAAAATATGGGCAGAAGTAATAGCAGAAAACTTCCCAAATATGAGGAAACAATCTGACATTCAGGAAACCGAAGCATAGAGAACGCCAAGTAACCTCAACCCGATTGAAAACACACCGAGACATGTAATAGTCAAGATCCCAGAAATTCAGTTCAAGAATAACATACTGAAAGCTGCTAGAGAAAAGAAGCAGATCACATTCAGAGGAAAACCCATCAGAATTACAGCTGACTTCTCTTCACAAACTATGAAGGCAAGAAGAGCATGGAGCAGAGTACTTCAGGTTCTCTATGAAAACATATTCCAGCCCAGACTACTATACTCTGCAAAACTCTCTTTCAAGTTTGATGGAGAAGTGAAATACTTCCATGACAAAGAACAACTGAAGCATTTCATGATAACAAAGCCAACCCTGCACAGACTCTTTAAAGATGTTCTAGAGAGGGACTAAGATGATTAGAACTCCATGAATGAGATCAGAACCAACCAGCTAAGTAGGGAAAACAGTTAAACACAGGAGAAAAAGGAGTAAACAACAACAGGTAAATAACATGTCTATCATAAGTCAATACATCTCAATTCTAACCATCAATGTAAATGGACTCAATTCACCGACTAAGAGAAATAGACTGGCACAGTGGATTAAGAAACAAAATCCAACAATATGCTGTATACAAGAAACACTTTTAACTCATAAAGACATTCATAGGCTGAAAGTCAAAGGATGGAAAACAATACTACATGCCCCAGCACCTCAGAGAAAAGCAGGGGAAGCAATCCTATTCTCAGACAGTCTCAACTTCATACCAAGAATAATGAAGTGAAATAAACAAGGCCACTATATACTGCTTACGGGAAAAATTCAAGAGGAAGAGGTAACACTCATAAATATG